TATATATATATATATATCTATATATATCTATATATATATATATATATATATATATATCTATACATATATATATATATATATATATATATATGTATGTGTATATATATATATATATATATATATATATATATATATATATATATATATATATATATATATATATATATATATATATATATATATATATATATATATATATATATATATATATATATATATATATATATATATATATATATATATATATATATATATATATATATATATATTATCTTGACACCTGTTTCAGTGATATCCATCGGTTCTATTCATATTCCCATAGCTCATTCAGTAACTAATTAAACAAGGCTACTTGATAAAAGTCTTTACCCTGTGTAAAATGTGCAAAATGAATCAATATCTTCTTTAATTGTTAAGATGATAAAACATAATGCTTAAGTCTTTCACAAATGTATTTTTGGTGGCAACAAATAGTTTTTATATTTGTGCGTTTATTTTTTGGTTTAATAATAATGTTTTAGATTTGCCATTAAACATTCTCAATTTAACCAGTAAACAAACGATAAATAGGAGAAACACTGTGTACTAACCAGATCAGATGCAACAAAATTTTTGCGAAAAAAAAAGAAATCAAGTGGTTTTCAAGTGTCATTCTCATGGCTGGTCAAGACAAAATCTCAGATAAAAATGGAAAGCAATTGGTATGCAATGTGAGAACTTAAAAGTCTACTGTAGGTTTGGACACACAACAAATGGCTGTGCATTATTTAAGGAAATATTAGGTAGATATAACATTTTTGCTAACACTTTAGAATTATAAGAAATATGAAAATAGAGCATTAGCAAATAGTTAATCATTTAATAATTAAACTTTATTAAACTAACAGACCTAAAATAGCATCTATATTTACAGACAGTGTACTGATATTACTAAATGCCTGAAAAACATGACGTATATAAACTCACCGGACATTATATTAGGTACACCTTACTAGTACCAGGTTGGACCCCCTTTTGCCTTTAGAACATCCTTAATCCTATGTGGCATAGATTCAACGAGTTACTGGAAATATTCCTCAGAGATTTTGCTCCCAATAGACATGATAGCATCACACAGTTGCTGTAGATTTATCGGCTGCACATCCATGATGCAAATCTCCCATTTCACCACATCCCAAAGGTGCTTGATTGGATTGAGCTCTGGTGACTGTGGAGGCCATTTGAGTATGCATTGATTCACGCTTCATGACACGACGCGTTATCTTGCTGGAAGTAGCCATCAGAAGATGGGTACACTGTGGTCATAAAGGGACATGGTCAGAAACAATACTCAGGTAAGCTGTGACGTTGACACCATGCTCAATTGGTACTAATGGGGCCAAAATGTGCCAGAAAGTATCCCCACACCATTACACCAACACCGCAGCATGAACTGTTGATACAAGGCAGGATGGATCCATGCTTTCATGTTGTTGATGCCAAATTCTGACCCGACCCTCCGAAAGTTGGTGCAGAAATCAAGACTCATCAGACCAGGCAACATTTTTCCAATCTTCTATTGTCCAGTTTTGGTGAGTCTTCTGCTGTAGCCCATCTGCTTCAAGGTGTGTGTTCAGAGATGCTCTTCTGCAGGCTTCGGTTGTAACGAGTGGTTATTTGCGTTACTGTTGCCTTTCTATCAGCTCGAACCAGTCAGGTTATTCTCCACTAACCTCTAGCATCAGCGAGGCATTTGTACCCACAGAATTGCCGCTCACAGATATTTTTAATTTTTTGCATCATTCTCTGTAAGCTCTATATGGCCGTGCATGAAAATCCCAATAGATCAGCAGTTTCTGAAATACTCAGACCAACAACTATGTCACTTAAATTACTTTTCTTCCCCATTCTGATGCTGTTTGTATTGCAGCAGATTGTCTTGACTATGTCTACATGACTAAATGCATTGAGTTGCTGCCCTAATGTTGGCTGATTAGAAACAAGCAGTTGGACAGGTGTACCTAATAAAGTGTTCATTTGAATAGTTTATTAATCATTCACTTGTTCTGAATAATCTTAAAAAAACACCAACTAAACAATACAATACTATTATAGTGGCTAAAATTAATCATTAAATTATGAAAATACCATCAAGCACATTATACAAGTACTTATACAGTTGAAGTCAGAATTATTACGCCCCATTCACACGGGGCGTCAGCGTCAACGCTTCCCATTCACTTTGAATGGGTGACGTCATGCGTTGCCGAACTGCATTGTGGATCCGTCGGCGCCGCTTCAGAGGCGTTGCTCGCGGCAGAAGTTGGGACTAGCTCAACTTTTCAAGCGCCGATGGAAGCGTCAGCCAATCAGATCGCTGAATGCAAATATGGCAGCTAGACAGGGGCCTATTGCTGACTGAATTTCATTGGCTGACGCTGCGATGATTACGTTACGCCCTATTCACACGGGGCTTCAGCGTCAACGCTTGACAGAGTGCGTGTCTGAAGTTGGAGCTGAAACGATCGTCATAGAAGCGTCAGCCAATGAAATTCAGTCAGCAATAGGCCACTGTCTGAGCTGGTGTATTTGCATACAGCGATCTGATTGGCTGACGCTTCCGTCGGCGCTTGAAAAGTTGAGCTGGTTCCAACTTCTGCAGCGAGGAACGCTTCTGAAGCGGCGCCGACGGATCCACAATGCAGTTCGGCAACGCGTGACGTCANCCATTCAAAGTGAATGGGAAGCGTTGATGCTGACGCCCCGTGTGAATAGGGCGTAGCCTCAACTTCAGGCACGCCTTCAGTCAAGTGTTGACGCTGAAGCCCTTTGTGAATAGGGCGTTAGCCCCCTTTTGATTTTATTTTATTTTTTTAAATATTTCCCAAATTATGTCTAACAGAGCAAGAAAATTTTCACAGTATGTCTGATAATATTTTTTCTTCTGAAGAAAGTCTTATTTGTTTTAATTCGGCTAGAATTAAACAGTTTTAAATAAATAAAAAAAACATTTTAAGGTCAAAATTATTAGCCCCTTTAAGCTATTTTACTCAATAGTCTACAGAACAAACCACTATTATACAATAACCTGCCTAGTTAAGTCTTTAAATGTCACTTTAAGCAGTATAGAATTGTCTTGAAAAATATCTAGTCAAATATTACTTACTGTCATTATGGCAAATGTAATGTGTGGGTGAGTCGGAGACAGTATAAGAATGCAGAAGTTTTATTAAGGGGTTTAGACAGAGACATCAGTGAGTAAACAGTTGGAAAGCCAGCAACAAATAAGCAGTCCAATCCAGTCAACAAACACAGCGGCAAATCCAGACAACGTAGTGAGAGTGCAGGCAGAGGTAATATAATAACTATCAGTCCAAAACAGATCAACAAACACAGGGGCAAATCAGGCAGGCAAAAGTTCAAGGCAACAATAAGCAGTCCTAAACAGAGCAAGAGGGCAAAGACAGATAACGTACTTGTTAAAGGCAAGCAGGGTCATACACAGGCAAGCAGTCATGAAAGTCTCTAGGAAAACCGCTTGGTAACGCAGGTAGACTGGCAATACTTCACAAGGAAGCATGGCCTGAGCTCTTGCTAAAATACAGCACAATAAGGAAGTGACTGCAGAGGGTGAGGAGCTGAGTCAGTAGTTGGGCGAGGGCTCCCTCTGCTGGCGTGGCCTTACAGGTAAAATAAAGCAGTTATTAGAAATGAGTTATTAAAACTATTATGTTTAGAAATGTGTTGAAAAAATCTGCTCTTTGTTAAAACATAAATTAAGGAAAAAACTTAACGGGGGCTAATAATTCAGGGGGTTTAATAATTCTGATTTCTGTATTTGTTCTGCTTCTACAGAAGCACCATGTAAAATGATTATGTGCATTGATTCTTTTACATCTTAGTGTTGTTAAACGATTAATCATGTACAAAATAAAAGATTTATATTTACATATTATGTGCGTGTTCTGTGTATATTTTTTTGTGAACAAATAAATGTGCACACATACATTTATATACACTGTAGACAATTATTGCTGCCTTACATTTTTTTTTAGTTGAACTTTTCTAGTCACCTCAACTTAATTCACAGGTGTAAAATCCAGTTCCTGGAAAACTTATTGGATTGACTTACATCAAACAAACAAACTTTAAAAAAGTTGTTGAAACCTGATTAACGCAGGAGCTGCATTATCATTGTATAAATGTGATGTAATCTTCTCCAGCTGAACCTCGCAAAAACGGAAATGCTTGTAGTTTCTGCCAACCTGACTCTACACCATAACTTTTCAATCCAGATGGATGGGGCAACCATTACTGCATCCAAAATGGCGAAAAGCCTTGGAGTAACGATTGATGACCAACTAAACTTCTCTGACCACATTTCTAGAACTGCTCGATCGTGCAGATTCGCACTCTATAACATCAGAAAGATCCGACCCTTCTTATATGAACATGCAGCTCAACTCCTTGTTCAAGCTCTTGTTCTCTCCAAACTGGATTACTGCAACTCTCTACTAGCTGGGCTTCCAGCTAACTCTATCAAGCCTCTTCAACTGCTCCAGAACGCAGCAGCACGAGTGGTCTTCAATGAACCTAAACGAGCACATGTCACTCCACTGCTAGTCCGTTTGCACTGGCTGCCAGTTGCTGCTCGCATCAAATTCAAAGCTCTGATGTTTGCCTATAAAGTGACTTCTGGACTTGCTCCTTCTTATCTGCTCTCACTTCTGCAGATCTATGTGCCCTCCAGAAACTTGTGTTCTGTGAATGAACATCGCCTCGTGGTTCCATCCCAAAGAGGGAAGAAATCACTTTCGCTCACGCTCACGCTCAATCTGCCCAGTTGGTGGAATGAACTCCCTAACTGCATAAGAACGGCAGAGTCACTCGCTATTTTCAAGAAACGACTAAAAACTCAATTATTTAGTCTCCACTTCACTTCCTAATCTGCAATTGCCTCTGAATATCACACTAACTGTACAAAAAAAAAAAAAAAAAATACTAATATTACTAATACTTTCCTTCTTAGACTTTACAGACCTGAAACTTGCCTACAGCACTTATTCATTGTTGCTCTTAGTTGTGTAAATTGCTTCCTTGTCCTCATTTGTAAGTCGCTTTGGATAAAAGCGTCTGCTAAATGACTAAATGTAAATGTAAAGAATCCCCAAAAAATAACTATTTTAATAATAATAACTATGACAACAATAATAATGAAACTGTAGGGTGACACAGTCTATTTTTCAAAGGGTGCTTTTCTACATGGTGTAGAAAATTCAATTTCTACAGTATTAAACCTATTATGCCTATCCAATGTCTCTACAAATCACAAAAACAAACTGGTGTGCACTTATTCATGTGTGTGTGTAGGTGTGTGTGCATGTCATCACCTGTGAGAAGACCTGCCCCAGACAGGATCTTGGACCAAGTGAAAATGGGTAGTAGCAGTAGTAAGGCCTGTCGGGTAAGAACACAGTTTGAAATGATAAAATACCGTGCTTTATTGTCACACTTTACAATACCACTGTCACGATCACCAGCCATCTAAAACCACTAGAGTTTGCTGGTAGACATTCACACTCACACAAACTACAAATCCGACCATTCATGGACTACAACTTCATACATGCACTCCGTTCATCAAGTACTGCTCAAACACAAAGTCTGCGTCCGAAACCGCCTACTACTCAGTAGGTACTGCATTTGAATTTAAACGTATTACTCGGCCATTAGAAAAGTACGTTCTATACAGTATGAATTTGAAAAGTATGAATGGAATTCGGAAGTGTGTTCAGAAAGCAGAGAGACGCCATATTGTGTTGCCAACCGTAATTAAAACAAGTTAAAGAAGAAGAATTGTTTGGAGACATGGGTCGTCAGTGTTGTGTTTATAAATGTGCTGCAAGGAAGGTTTTGTTTTCAATTCCTCGCTATGAGAGCGCAGCTGGACTCACGTGTGGATTACGGTGGTCTGCTAACAAGCAACTAAAATGCATTTGTAAGGAATATTTTTTACCCGAGAGCTATTCGCATCTGGAAATGGAGAAATTCGGAATTGCCGCTCATCTCCTTAAAAAAAAACACTTGGTTCCAGTTCGTGTTTTGCCTTCAAAATCTTTTTCAAAATAAACAACTAACTTTCTGTGGTAAAGTAACTGTTTGCAGCACAGAATTATGACACATGTCGCTTAAAGATTATGTAAAAGTCACATGAAAAAACTGATCACACTGCAGTCGCATTGCAAAACATCAGATGTGTGTCTGATTTAAGACTACATATGAAAGTGGCACAGATCTGACCTGAAAAGATCAGATTCCATGTGGTTTGGGCTGTTCACACTGTCATTACCTGAGTCACATGTGGCACATGTGGGCAAAAAAAAAATCAGATTCGGGCCACATTTGGCTGCAGTGTGAACGTAGCCTTGGTGAACTAGGCAGGATATGGTAATTAGGCAAGTTATTATATAACAATGTTTTTTTCTGTAGACAATTGGGGGGAAAATGAGCTTAAAGGGGCTAATAATTTTGACCTTAAAATGGTGTTTAAAATTAAAAACTGCTTTAATTATAGCCAAAATAAAACAAATAAGACTTTCTCCAGAAGTAAAAACATTATCAGAAATACTGTGAAAATATCCTTGCTCCGTTAAATATCATTTGGGAAATATTTAAAAATAAAAAATAAAATAAATCGAAGTAGGCTAATAATTCTGACTTCAACTTTATATATAAAATACACTAAAATGAAAATGTGATTAAGTGATAATGACTTACTTTGGCGCATTCACATTAAACCTCTCTGGATCAAACTTCAACGGATCTTTGAAATGCTTTTCCAGTCTCTGGGCGACATAAGAGCTGAACTGTTTGGACAGAATCAAAAATTCTTTAGTGGTGCATTTTTAAAAATGTATTTCTGAATTTAAAGAATAGACAACATTTCACATTTCCAGCTTTTGCTGTCTCGTGTGTAGATGCAGTATTAGTAACACCTCGAATAACTGTTTTCTATATATTGCTTTTGGTAAGACAAAAACAAAAGAAAAAAAAAAACAATTAAATATATCATGTGTCCATATGTATGGAGTGTATCATGTATAGTATGTAACCTGTGCATATGTATGGAATGTGTATGTATCATGTGTGCATTTGTATGAAGTGTATGATGTAATATGTGTGTATAGGTATGGAGTGTATTAAGTCCTATTGTTGTAGGGGTTTTTCAGCTCTCTGTGGCGTAGTGGATAAGCAACTAGACTTTCAAACCAGAGACCCGGGTTCAATCCCAGACCCTGAGTGTGTTGTGTGTATGTGTGTAATGTATATGTATATAATGTATCATGTGTGCATATGTAAAAAGTGTATAATGTATATGTATATAATGTATCATGTGTGCATATGTAAAAAGTGTATAATGTTTATGTATATAATGTATCATGTGTGCATATGTAAAAAGTGTATAATGTATATGTATATAATGTATCATGTGTGCATATGTAAGAAGTGTATAATGTATATAATGTATCATGTGTGCATATGTAAGAAGTGTATAATGTATATGTATATAATGTATCATGTGTGCATATGTAAGATGTGTATGTATGTAATGTGTGCATATGTACGAAATGTGCATATGTAAGGAACGTTTTAATTATTTGTTCATTTATTTTATATATTTTATATATCGATTTCTTTTACTGACAATTTAATTCTTTTGCAAAAAAAAAAAACAATTAAATAACAGGTTGAGAAAGTGGTAAAATCTGAAAAAGCTTTTCTTTTTCTGGTTTGTTTTTTAAAACACTGTCAGTGGGATTTAGGGAAGTGGGTGGGTGGGTCAATAGGCGCATTAGAAAACACTATACGTTGGGTTTAGAGAAGGAGTAGGTTGTGTCAGTCGATCATTCAGTCAGTCAGTCAGTCAGTCAACAGCAGCCTCTGGTGGATTTATAGGAGAACAGCAGGTATGAATGAAACTCGCGAAAGAAAAAAAAACCAAAAACAACCTACAGCGGCCTCTGTTGGACCAGCGAAAACAAAAAATGAAAAAAAAAAACGTACATCCTGGGATGTATTTTGTGCTCTTCAGAAATGTCTATAGGGCTACGTTTTCAGATTGAGCCTGGATTGGGCAAATCTGTTGGAATGATCTGAACAAGTATGCTGTTTTTGCTGTGGAATTTCTCTTGGAGGATATTTGAACTAAACTTAAATTTCCTGGGTAAAGGTATAATAAGGTACAGAACAACTCTACAGTTGTTAATTCTGTGAATATTGTGTTTGTAAATATGAGTGTTTACAGGTAACAGTATCTTTAGGAAGACTTTAAATATACCTGTGGTAGCTTTGCTGCCATTTGAGCTAATGATCTTTCTTTTTTTTTTTTTTGCATAACCATATAGTGAGTTATAACTCATTGATTATTAGTGTAAACACAGTCTTTATCAGACTGAATGTTACAACTATTGAAATCATCAGTGCTGTTTTGTAAAAAGGGTCTATGAACATTTCTTTCTTTCTTCATTTTAATTTAAAGCGCAGGTGTCAAACTCAGTTCCAAAAGGGCCGCAGCTCTGCACAGTTTAGTTCCAACCCTAATTAAACACACCTGATCAAACTAGTTGAGTCCTTCAGGCTTGTTTGAAACCTACAGGTGTGTGTTTGAGCAGGTTGGGAACTAAACGGTGCATGGCTTCGGCCCTCCAGGAATTGAGTTTGAAACCCCTGATTTAAAGGATTTGTACTTGTATGACTAGCCTCTGTAGGCTGGTATCGTGTGTGAACAGAACGGTCTTACAAGGAATGTGGTGATACTCACAATAACAGAAATGCCTCCAGGGATTTTAATGCCGTTTATGACCATGTCCTCATGAAGCCAGCGATTGGTTCCTGGCGCAGTCGGGTACAGACGCAGGGTTTCCTTCAACACCTGAACAACACAAAAGACCATTAAAAGAAATGGATGCTAAAAGCAACCTTTGTTCATGTCACTTGAAACAACTCTGTGGACAAACCTGAGACAAATAAGTGAATTTTCCAAGGTCTTCATATGAAATGTCTCTTTTGGTTCCAAGAACTTCATCCACCTCTGCTTTAGCTCTGGAAATGAAAAGAAGTTTGAATTCTAAAGCACTTTAATACAAAATATTTGGAACCATTCAGTATTTCGGTAGCACTTTATTTTGATGAACACACTATTAACAAGCCATTAACTAAGACTATCAGGTAAACTACCAATTATCTGCATATTAATTCAGGTAGTAGTTGGGTTTAGGAACTAGTTACATTTAGAGATGTCGAATAAGATTATACTACTAAAAAGCAGTTAATATCATAACAATAGGCAAGTAATAAGCTAGTTAATTGTGTAAATTGTTACTCAAATTATTTTAGATTGTTACCCATGTTTAAGTGTTTACCGTTTATATATCTCAGGATGTCTCCCTAATTCCATGATTGCAAACGAGAGCTGATTGGCTGTTGTCTCTTGCCCTGCAAAAGAGCAAATTGCTGGGTTGCACTTTATTTTAAGGTTTCCTTGTTACAGTGTACCTATTCTTTTAACTACTGAGACATTTTAATTAATTACCTGTACTTAACCCAGGCTCATTCTGATTATGTATTCCTATATACATTTCTGGAGAGCACCAAATATGTCCTAGGAGCTAACGTTTTCTTTGCTGTTTTTGTTGTCACGAATCCAACGGAGGCAGCTGTGTATGCTTTTTCAGATCTCATCAATTTCTCTCGAAAGTGCCATTCACGCCTGCTCTTCTCACGTAAATCCACCAGTGGCCTCTGTCGACTGACTGACCAACCAATCATCCCGAACAACCCCCCCACCCCCTCAACCCTAACCATTACCGACAGTATTTACATGACCTTTACATCCAAATAACGTTAGTAATTACAATTTACTGTACTTGTGCATGAAATATACAAAAACATTTACAATCATAAATGTAATTACAATAGCAAAACAATGTTATTACAATGTTTTTAACATAGTAATTGTCATGCTATAACAATGTTATTACATAGTAGATACATTGTTATAACAATGTAACTATAATGTTATTACATAGTAATTATGATATAAAGGCATAGTAATTACATCCAAAATAAAAGTTTTTAATTACATATTTCATCTCAGACGTAATTACAATATTAAAGCAAGGTAATTACAAGGACTCTTACTTCCAGAATAAGAGTTTGTAATTACAGTTTACTTTAATTGTGCATGAAATATATATAAAAAAAACACTTTTACGATACTATCAAAGATATAACTACAATAGTAAAACAATGTTATTACAGTGTTATTGCATAGTAACTACCATGTTATAACAATGTTATTACATAGTAACTTACATGTTATAACAATGTTATACAATAATAACTACAATGTTATTACAATGTAGCTATAATGTTATCACATAGTAATTATGATGTAATGGCATAGTAATTACATCCAAAATAAAAGTTTGTAATTACAAATTTCATTTGAGACGTAATTACAATATTATAGCAATGTAATTACAAGGACTATAACATCCAAAACAAAATGTTGTAATTACTGTTTTCTGTTTGTGCATGAAATATATATAAAAAACACTTGTTCAATACTATCAAAGATGTAATTACAATAGTAAAAGAATGTTATTACAATGTTTTACATAATTACCATAGTAAAACATTGTTACATAGTAATAACCATGTTATAACAATGTTATAACATAGTAATGTGCATGAAATTCCTATATACATTTCTGGAGAGCACCAAATATGTCCTAGGAGCTAACGTTTTCTTTGCTGTTTTTGTTGTCACGAATCCAACGGAGGCAGCTGTGTATGCTTTTTCAGATCTCATCAATTTCTCTCGAAACAATGTTATAACATAGTAATAACCATGTTATAACAATGTTGTAACATAGTAATAACCATGTTATAACATTTTAGTTACTTTGTTATTACAACATGACTATAATGTTATTACATAGTAATTATGACGTGTTGACATAGTAAATACATCCAAGATAAAAGTTTGTAATTACATATTTCATTTCAAACGTAATTACAAAATATAACAATGTAATTACAAGGACTCTTACATCCAAAATAAAAGTTTGTTATTACAGTTTACTGTACTTGTGAATGAAATATACAAAACACATTTACAATCCTATCATAGATGTAATTATAAAAGTAAAACAATGTTATTACAAGTTATTACATAGTAATTACCATGTTACAACAATGTTATTACATAGTAAATATGTTACAACAATGTAATTACATATTAGTTACATTGTTGTAACAATGTTATTACATAGTAGTTACATTATTATAACTGTTATAACTAGTTATGATGTAATAGCATAGTAATTACATACAAAATAAAAGTTTGTAATTACATATTTCATCTAAGACTTTACAATATTATAGCAATGTAATTACAAGGACTCTTGCATTAAAAATAAAAGTTTGTAATTACAGTTTACTGTATTTGTGCATGAAATATAAAAAACACTTATTCAATACTATCAAAGATGTAATTACAATAGTAAAAGAATGTTATTACAATGTTTTTACATAGTTACCATGTTAAAATAATTTTTGCATAGTAATAACCATGTTATAACAATGTTATTACATAGTAATAACCATGTTATAACATTGTAGTTACTATGTTATTACAATGTGACTATGCTGTTATTACATTGTAATTATGACGTAATGACATAGTAAATAAATCCATAATAAAAGTTTGTAATTACAGTTTACTGTATTTGTGCATGAAATATAAAAAACACTTATTCAATACTATCAAAGTATGACGTAATGACATAGTAAATACATCCAAGATAAAAGTTTGTAATCACATATTTCATTTCAAATGTAAATGTTTTTAAATGTTTTTTAATTAGTTTACTGTACTTGTGCATGAAATATACAAAAAACATTTACAATCCTATCATATATGTAATTACAATAGTAAAACAATGCTGTTACAACTTATTACATAGTAATTACCATGTTATAACAATATTATTACATAATAATTGTATTGTTATAACAATGTTATTACATAATAATTACCTTGTTATAACAATGTTTTTACATAGTAACTACAATGCTATTACAATCTAACTATAATGTAATAACATAGTAGTTATGATGTAATGGCATAGTAATTATGTCCAAAATAAAAGTTTTTAATTACATATTTTATGGCAGATGTAATTACAACATTTTAGCAATGTAATTACTAGGCTGTTACATCCAAAATAAGTTTGTGATTACAGTTTATTGTACATGTGCATGAAATATACAAAAACACATTTACAATAATATCATAGATGTAATTACAATAGTACAACAATGTTATTACAATGCTATTACATAGTAATTACCATGTTATAACTATGTCATTACATAATAATTTCATTGTATAACAACAATGTTATAACATAGTAATTACAATGTTATAGCAATGTCATTACTAGTTACAATGTTAAACGTTGTAATTAAAATGTATAGCATAGTTATTGCATAGTAATTACAATATTATATCCTTGTTTTATTGCATAATAATTACAATGTTATAACAATTTAATTATAATAATATTTTATAGTAATTATGATGTATGACATAGTAATAACATCCAAAATAAAAGTTTGTATTTACATATGTAATTTTTATATTTACATATAAGCACACAAATAATGTACTTAATGTAATTACAATGTATTGAGATAATAATTATAATAAATTGGCATAGTAATTACATCCAAAATAAAAGTTTGTAATTAGTTTACTGTACTTGTGCATAAATATATACAAAACACATTTACAATACTATCATAGATTTAATTACAATGTTATAACAATGTTATTACAACGCAGCTACAATGTTACAAGGATGTATTTACAATGTTATTACATAGTAACTATGATATATTGACAGTATTTACATTCAAAATAAGTTTGTAATTACATATGTAATGTGTATATTTATATATAAGTACACAAATAATGTACTGGGAATATAAAAAGAAACATGTTTATAAATATTATCTTGGATGAATTTACAATAAAATGAAATAGTAATTACAATGTAACAACACAGTAACTGAAGTAATATTTTCTGTCTTTTAGTAGATATATTTGAGTCTTGCTTTGTGTACAAAATAAAGTGGATCTAATTGAGTTTGCATCATTAAATACAAGTTATAAAGGTATCACTTTTTAGTTCATATATTAAGGTTTCAGTTATGATTCTCCCCAAATCATTGCGCATAAATACGCAGATTTTTAACAAAATTCTGCACAGAATGGCAAAAACTGTTCACAGATTCAGACTGGCCCATGACTATAAATCAAAGTAAGAACTAACTCACCAGCAATGAAGAAAGTCACAAAATTGTCCAACATCTGCTCATGATCTTTAGTGTTATTAACTTTCTCCTCCTCTGCAACAAAACAAAAGTGTTACCTGTTAAAATGACCTTTTATAATGTGCATATCGCCATTTTTAAGAAAAGCCAACAAATTATATCAATATAATTTAAATCCTTCTGCACACTGTTACACTACTGTAGGTGGTGAGTCGAATTTTGAACATACACATTTATGAGCGACTTTAGAATTCAAGATACTGAATATGAGACATGAGACATTCTATGAGACATTCTTTAGTAAATATTTAATAAAATGTACTGTAATATATTATTGAAAATATTTAAATGTGTTTGATGGACAGCTTTTCATATATAAAGCTACATCTCGCCAAAAGAAAGCTGAGTTTTTAGTTTTTTTTAAAGTTATGTTTATGTCTGTTTGAAGGTATAACAGTTTATGTCTATTTTAAACATGTCAATGACACATGTCAATATTTTTCTTATCAGTGTTTCTTGGTCGGATTGGATAACTTAAAAATGACAACTATTTTATTAAATACTCACCCTCGTGAGTATTAATCCCTTGAGACATCTTCGGGACACAAATTAAGGTCCAATCCCAATTCTATTTTTGTACCCCTTCCCCTTCCCCTTGGCCCTTAAAACCAAGTGTTGCGGTGAAGAGCTTCAAAATTTACCCCTAAGAATTGGGACAGCACTACAGCACCGGCACACGTCAACACACGTTATTCCAGTTGTGTTATTTTTTGGTGTTTATCTTCAGGAAATCACTGAAGGCATATATTATGTTATCATAAGGATCTAATATGACAATAAGATCGTAACAGTACTGCACATTTACACAGTGGCCATACTCACCTATGTAAACACACCAAAAACAACATTAGCATTATAGCAGACACTATAAACAGCTAATTTCCAGCCACTAGACTTTTCTGACAGGGTATTCGAGTGTCATTGAGTGTCAGAATGTTGTAGGACTGCTGTACAGGAGTTATTATTGTGGATTGCAGATAGCGAAATTTAGCGGTTTTTATTTTAGCGTTTATTCAGACAACTTTTTGGACAATGTTTTCTTTTTCTCGTCAGCTCAAGGGTGCATGTTTACTATGGGGAGCACAACTTATTGCCATTAGAGTCCGAAAAGCAACACACAGGCATATTATTGTCCCTGTAACGACGAGGCTAACACAGAGGGATCCATTTCCAGTACGTCCAGAACTCATATGAATCACAGGCTTATAAGGTCGATAGGCAGGCGACAAACATTCGTATATCAAAGTAGCAGGCATGGGTCATGGGTAGGCAGTAAGATGCAAGATCGGTGAGACAGTCAGGTAATCAGGGCAGGCGACAGGCAAGACAAAGTCGAGGACAATCCGGTTGGCAACAGAAGATCAGGCAAGGGTAAGTAACGCTCAGTGATGTCAGCAGGGCAGAACAAGACTTCGCAATGAAGTGAGAGCGAGATGTGTGTGTGTGTGTGAGCAGGAGTAACAAGAGTCAGGTGCAGCATAATCAGCTGTCCGAATGGGCTTGTAGGGGATGAAGTGTTTAATAGTCCAGTGATAGAGACCTCTGCTGGCCAGGGAGGGGAATGACTGGGACCGAGTCCCCAATAAACACACATCTGACGATGAAGATATTGGCGATCAAATTTGTTTGTATTATTACATACATACAAAGACTTTGCATGTTTACGATTGTAGTCACATGGACCGTTTTTTTTTTTTTTTGACAAGTTTTCAGTTCCTTTTCTGGACTTGGTCATCTCTGAACTGTTGCTGTCTATGGAGGATGAGAGAGCTCTCCAATTTCTTTGAAAACACCTTAACTAGTGTTTTGAAGAAGAACAAAGGTCTCAGTGTTGTACGAGGATGAGTAAATAATAGAATCTGTTCCTTTTTGGTTAAAACTAATTAATTAACTACTTTAATTGTGAAATGAATAAATGGTGTGTGTTTATAAATGGTACCTGTTCAACAAAGTGAAAAAACTAACATACTTGCAGTTTTGAGGATTTGTGTGAGAATGTCATTGGGGACGTCCTCTCCAATTTCCACTGCTGTCTTTCTGTTTTGTATCCATTGCTCTCCCGTTTTACGTAAGAGTACAGTAGCACCTTTAGTTTCCTGTATAGCCTTCCAATTCTTGGGAAAAAACTAAAAAGGTAACACAATTTAAAAATAAAACAGGTTATACAGCATTAACCCTACTTCTTTCGTCATAGTGATAATCATATTTAGATAAATTATCTTACCTTACAAAATGGGTCTCTTAGATCTAACACCATACCCTGTAAACACTGCTCTATTGCCTGCTGGAAAGGGTTGTCTGTTTGCTTAAACAAGTTCAAATCAACACCGAAAGCGACCTGTGAATGATAATGTAATCATTTAGTAATCATTAACAGCTGGTTTGATGTCTCTTGTATTAGACTTTCCTTTGAATAAGCGAAAAGAACAGTGAAACCTTGCAAATGATATCAAGTGTAACACAGTTGACCAGGTCGTGCATGACGGCAGGGGTTTTGTTGATGGCCATTTCCTCCAGCTTGTCCATCAGGCGTTCTGACATCTCATTAAAAGTGCTTATCAAGCCTCGCAAGTATCTGACAGATAAGGCAAACTCGGTCGAGGTGCATCAGAATCACATTGCAGTGTGTATCAGAGATGGTCTGTATTTGACTCACGAGCTGCTGAAGGCTGGATCCATGATTCGACGCTGCCTGTACCAGATGTCATGGTCTGTGGCTGTCACCAGGCCATACCCCAAGAACCTAAGAAGATGCAATCATGGGTAACAATTTATTTTAAGAGGGTGTTCATAAGAATCTCATGATAATCGTGACAGGATAAGATTTCATCCATGCTTATTACAATGGTCATTAAGTTTCATTTGCTCAAATGTCACTTTAAATGCAAAGATGACATTGAGATTACAACATTACCTGGGTTTCTCTTTGTCATGACAACATGACATCATCTAATCAACATAACTTGTCATAAATCCGCCCTAAACATGATCATCATGATGTCATTGTTGTCACGGTTGAGGAAAGGGAAAAGAGGGAGAACTCAATTGCAGAACAAAAATTGCCTTTTATTAATATTAGAATAAAATAAATGGCAACAAAAAATAGGCTGGCAGGCATGAGGGCTGAACAGGAAGGGCAGGGCTGCAGTAACTTGAATGGCAGGGAACCAGGGAGAAGCTGGAGGTACAGTTCAACGTAGGGCCAAAGGGTCAGGAGTCCCAGCAGGAGACCAGGGTAGAGCCAGAGGGACAGTCCAGGAACAAACAAGGACACACCATGGAGGAACACCAGGGATGATCCAGAGAGGATCGGACAGGGGTGGCAAGGCTGAAGGCCTGTGGGGAGTGGAGGCCCATGGAGTCAGGGTATTGTAGGCAAGGCAAGGAGTCTGGCCGGTGCAGGAAGGACAAGGAGCCAGGCTAAGGCAGCAGGGAAAGAATTCTGGGCAGTGAAGGAAGACTTAGGAGCTGGGCTGGGTTGGCAGAGCAAGGAGCCTAGGCAGTGCAGCCAGAGCAAGAAGCTTGGCTAAGGCAAAATGCAGCAAGCGTGTTTTAATCCCAGCACCAACCGAAACAACCGAAACCAACTAGACTGTAGGAACAGGAATGGCAGGGAACCAGGGAGGAAGTGAAGGGACAGTCCAAGACGGGGACAAAGGGTCAGTAACCCTGGCAGGGGACCAGGGTAGAGCTAGAGGGGTAGTCCAGGAAGGAACAGAGACACACCAGGGAGGAACAGCAGGTGATCAGACAGGATGGGAGCTGGGCTGGGGCAAAATAGACAGGAATGGCAGGGAACCAGGGGGGATCTTGAGGAAAAGACCAGGATAGAGCTGGAGGGACAGTCGAGAGAGGAACAGGAACATACCAGGGAGGAACCGCAAGGGTGATCCCGGGAGGAATGGACAGGCGTGATAAGGCTGCAGGCCCTGTCAGTGATAAGAACGTGGGACTTACTCAAGACCACACGTTTAGAAAAACACAATATTTTTCTTGCTCTTAACTTTAATTGTACAAATGGGAATGGCAGGGAACCAGGGGGACCTGGAATAACAGTGTAAGGTGGGAACACAGGGTCAGGAATCCTGGTAGGGGACCAGGGTAGAGCCGAAAGAGGAACAGAGACACACCAGGGTGGAACAGCAGGGGTGATCCAAGGAGAAACAGACAGGGGTAGCAAGGCTGCAGGCCTGTGGGGGAGGTGACTGATCATGGATTCTGGGCATTGCAGGCAGGGCAAGTAGTCTGAGCGGTGCAGGCAGGACAAGAAGCCAGGTTATGGCAGCATGGCAAGAACCCAAACATAATGGTGCGAACAACAAACGAACAACCAGGACAAGCAAGCACACTCACTACAAAGACAAGAACAGATGGCTCATTCAAGACCACACGTTCAGAATGACAACAAGACGCAAGAATGACAAGACATGAGTCATTACAATTAGACCTGTGTTATGAATAATATATATTTTTACTTTTACTCTACTACAATGATACAAATTAAACCTGCCAGTAAAATCTCATTAAATGTAATAAAATATTACAGCTCTGTTACTATTTAACAGAGTACTGACAGCTTTATTGAGAAATTTTATTGACAAATTAATTTTGTTCCACTCAAAAAGTCAGCAGAAAATATTTGTAGAGCAATTATAATGGCCTCATGTTTATGACAGATTTATGACAAAAGATTTATGACATTTATGTCAAGATTTATTAAATTTATATCAAGTTTTCATGACAAAGACAGGTTGTGTTGTATTTGTGGATGTCAAGTCTTAGTAAAGTCATCTCAAACAATATCATTGTTGCATTCAAAATAACAACTGAGCTAATGACAATTAACGGTCATTGTATTAGGCATGGCTACAAACTCATCTATATTTATGTCATGTCATGATTATAAAGGTGTGATCGCAGCGTTATGAACACCTCTTCAAGTAAAGCGTCAATCATGTGACTTTTACACCACTGGCAAAGCAAAACATGAAGCAATGAGCCCTCTGATTTACAGACAACACTTACAGTAGCATTACAATGTCAGGACAATTTACCTTTTTCCAAACAAGCCAAAGAGACGTTTGTAGATAAAGGGATCTTTGAGATACTTTGGTGACATCATGATTGTCTACAAAAAGGGCAGAAATGTTTCTTTATTAGATTATGAAGCTTCTGATAAGAACATTTATTTATGTTAAATATTTACCTTTGTAGCCTCGGGGCAATGGACATTGATTATGACATAATGAAAACTGTTCAGCCTGTAGACAGGGCCATATTTTTCCGCCCTTAAAAAGAACGTAATATCAATGTTAAAAATCTTTTAATCAAGTTTGCCTAGAGGAACAATACACTATCTTGATATTTTTATCATATAGCAATTGTGACACTCTAAAAAACATGGGGTTAGTTTTTCTACCCAAACATTTGGGTATTTTGGGGGGTTATTTTCAGAGTCTTGGGTAGATTCAACCCAGCTCTTTGGGTCAAATCAACTCACAGCAGGGGCTGACTGGAATACCACATATTATATACTAATTTGTTTAAATGCAATGAAAATAGTGTAACATAAACACAGATTGCTTGCGTTTTCAGATGATTAAAATGAGATTTATGCCCATAGCAGCCCTTAGTCAGACCTTTATGAATTTTAAAATTTCTTACTACCACCTTTTGTACACCTGTAATCAAAGCTGCACATCCCCCACCGTACTTCAGTGACACCAAGTCAAAACAGCACAATTTCTGGGTCATCTTTCGCGGGCATTTTTGGATCAAATTAACCTATTATATAAGTAAAAATAACCAATTATTGGGTAGAAAAAACAACCCATTTATGGCGTTAAAAATGATAACCCAATTACTTGGGTTAATTTAACCCCTGATGTGTTCTGTCCCATATTTACCCAGCAGTAGGGTTAAAAACAACCCAATTGGGGTTGTGTTTTTTAGAGTGTACTATTTTTCATTATGACTAAATGTATTACAGTCTAATAAATAGATACAGTTGAAGTCAGAATTATTAGATCTCCTGAATTATTAACCTTATTATTATTTCTGTTTAACGGAGAGAAGTTTTTTTCAACACATTTCTAAACATCATGGTTTTAATAACTCATTTCTAATAACTGATTTATTTTATCTTTGCTTTGATGACAGTAAATAATATTTGACTAGATATTTTTCAAGACACTTCTATACAGCTTAAAGTGACATTTAAAGGCTCAACTAGGTTAATTAGGTTAACTAGGCAGGTTAGGGTAATTAGGCAAGTTATTGTATAATGATGGTTTGTTCTGTAGACTATCACAAAAATATATAGCTTAAAGGGGCTAATAATACTTTTTTTCCCCAATATGTTTATTGATTTTTTCCTTTTCACCCCATCAACTAGGCATACAGACAACAACGCAGCCTACACAGCACATATCTACACCCTTCTTATATATATGTATATACACCCATACATACTAAAAAATAAAAAATAAAAATTATAATAATAAATATATATATATATATACATACACACATATACATACATACACATACATACACACATATACGCACATACATACATATACAATATTTAAATTATATATATATATATGTGTGACGTAAACCATAACAGAATAATACAAAAGAAGAAAGAAAAAAAAGGAAGAAGAAAAAAAAAAGGTATTAATAAATAAAAAACATGTTTACAAACACACAATTTACATAATATTCATATATGGTTTCCAAAGATAGTCAAAGTTCTTCTGCTTGCCTTTGATGATATAAGTTATTCTCTCCAGTCCAATACAGTTCAATATTTCTTTTTTCCACATTTCTATGGATGGAGCATCCATGTGTTTCCAGTATAATGCAATAGCCCTTCTAGCTTGAAGGAAACCAAAATCCAAAATTCTTGTATTTCCAATTGTAAGTTCCTTAGGATACAACCCAAGAATACAGAGCTTGGCATTTAAAGGAATTTTAATATTAAACATGTCTGACATACATTCAGTTATATCTTTCCAAAACTTTTGTATAGGGGCTAATAATACTGACCTTAAAATGTTTTTTTTTTAATTAAAAACTCCTTTTATTCTTGCCGAAATAAAACAAATAAGACTTTTTACAAAAAGAATTTTTTTTTATCAGACATACTGTGAGAATTTTCTTCCTCTGTTAAACATCATTTGCAAAATATTTTAAAAATAAAAAAAATAAAAGGGGGCTAATAATTCGTACATCAAATGTATATTCATGAACTGTTGTAACAAATATTATTATAATAAGACATGTATAATAAATAACATGGTTATTTTATACAATGATTCATTTTTTTATGGTCCCACTTTATATTAAGTGGCCTCAATAACTCTTTATCGTTGTTAAATTAATCATTTGAAACAATGTACTTATTTTACATTGTACTTATATTTTAAAATAGCAATATGTAATTACATCTGTAATTAACTTCAGTAAACACATTTATATTTATACTTTGAAACATTCTTTTACACCTTAACTCACCCTTAAACCTATATATACACACCATCAAACCTCTGCCAAATCGTATTCTACCTCAGTAGCACAATAAGTATTTTGCAAAGCAACATGAACAAAATATGAACATTGTATCTATTTTTTTTTTTTGTCTATGATATATATCAATACACATTCAAACAGGTCGCCTATTTATGTGCACACAAAATAAAAGTAATTATGGAGGATTTCTTGGTATTTGTGAAGACACTTAACTAAGTTAGTACAAAAAGATAATGTTGCAGTATTCTACTGATAATTTCATAGTAATCTAAATATTTATACTTATAGGCCGAACTAACAAGGGAAATAATTCATATAATAGATGCAATACGAGGAGAAATTATGTTAAAGAAAAGACAAAAATCCAAAATAACATGGTTTTGAGAGAGGTGGAGGGACGGAGAACTGGGAAAACCGCAATATCAAGTTGTCGAAAGAGACGAGGTGCAAGTTCAGAAGGTGAACACGGTTATGACATAGTTTGTAGGTGCAAGGTGAAAGAAAGACATTAGTCATGTAAATAAACAAACAAACAAATAAATAAATAAATAAATAGGCTAAATAAATAAATTAATTAATTAAGTGTTTTGCTCTTACCATATAAGTAATAAGTCGTTCATATGTCTTTCCGACTTTGTCACTCTGTTAATAGTTGGAATATGTCCCAGCAGAAAACTGTCAGGATATCAGTTCAGTTTCACGTTAATTTATACAGTTTTCAACATTGCAAAATAAATATAAATAATAGCTACACCAAACACATTCATGAAAAGATCAATTGATTTAACTTTCTTACTTGTCTCTAGGAGGTCCAGGTATATGATCATATTTCTGGTGAACTTGATGAATATACAGACAGTATGCAAGAAATACAACGAAAACAGCAGAAAGAAGGTAAAACACCATATACAAGAGCCACTCCGATGTCATGATGGTGCTGTCGGTTACAGTAGCTCGGCGTACTGTACGTCTGTCTGCCTTTCGGCGATCTAATGTCAAACTTGGAATGTTTTTCTTATTTCCGGGTGTTTAAGACGTGTTTCACATCGGTTTTGGCGATAGAGGGCAGTGCTAACCTTCCATTCCTACATTTCAACAAAACTTTAGGACATTTTGGACATTATAATTAGCATAATACAAGTTTTATTTTGCGGTTTATCGTCTGAAAACACACTCACACACAAAAGGTAAAAGATGTGAGAAAAGTAGCAACATAAACAACATAAACCTTCTGTAATAAATTCTAATAGATTTTAATAGATAGATAAATAGATTCTGTAAGAAAAGAGACTAAAATATGATTATTTGATGATTTTAATTGAATACAAGAAAATAACATCGCTGGATTGAAGAGAAAATACAATAACAAAAGTTAGGAAAGAGAGAAAGAGAAAAGGAAAACAATCAAAACAAATTAGGAAAATAAATAATTAAAAGCTTTAAGGAACTTATTTTTATTATTAATAAGCTTAAAAAAATTCAATATTGAATGAAATTTCAGCAAGGAAAATAATAAACCTAGGTATTGTCTTATAGGAACTTATTTTTGTGTATAAAAAATGTACAAAGTTACAAAAAAGGTTACCGATAAGACAGAGAGCATGATCACTACCAGAAAATTACACAAATATATTTATTATAGACAAATGTAAATCATATTTAAGCAAGGAATGGAATGGAATATAGTTTCTTCCTGTACACTCTCAGAAAAAAAAAATGGAACAATGTTTTACCAAAGAATTACAAACGCTTGTCACTGGGGCAGCACCACTTTATAGAACAGGGTTTTAAAACCTGCAGATGCAATATTGTACCTTCATCAAAATCTGATCTAAGAAGGTACCACTAGAATAACAAGACACTTTGTGCTTTAACAGTGTCAAATGTGTTCCTTCAAGAACTATTTAAAGGCATTTTGCTTTATCCAAAATGTGCACATTTATTTGAGAATCCACCCTTTCCATTTATAATAAAGAATAAAAAATACTTTAACATCAATCAAAAGAGCAATTTTTGCTAATACTTTTGTGATCACTTAAAAGTTTATTTAATTTACTTAATTTTAAAATAAAAATAGAATTATGCAAAAGTATTGTAATAAGATTTGCTCAAGGTTTTACAATACTAAAATGTCTGCATGAACACTCTGCATATGTAGGACTTTTGCCAGCTCACGTGCGTAGTGGAAAGCAAACGCCAATAATTAAAACGTATGGATACATGAAAATGAAAATGCATATACGAAAATATGTATACATATATGTAGAGGGGCTAATAATTCAGATTTCAGCTATATATAGCTTTGATTTTTTTTCTTTTTTAAATATTTCCCCAGTGATGTTTAACAGAGCAAGAAAATGTTCACAGTATGTCTGATGATATTGTTGTTTTTTTTCTGGAGAAAGTCTGATTTGTTTCATTTCGGCTAGGATAAAAGCAGTTTTTAATTAAAAAAAAATTTAAGAACATAATTATTAGCCCCTTTAAGCTATTTATTTTCTCAATAGTCAAACAATTTTCTACAGAACAAACCATCGTTATAAAATAACTTGCCTTATTACCCTAACCAGAATAGTTAACTTAATAAACCTAGTTAAGCCTTTAAATGTCACTTTAAGCTGTATAGAAGTGTCTTGAAAAATGTCTAGTAAAATATTATTTACTGTCATCACGGCAAAGATAAAATAAATCAGTTATTAGAAATAAGTTAATAAAACTACTATGTTTAGAAAAATATATATATATGTGTGTGTGTGTGTGTGTGTGTGTGTGTATGCTTATTATCAAAATATATTAAACTATTGAAATCCAACATGTCTAAATTTAAAATATCACCATATATCAAATTTCTACATTGTAGTAATAAAACAGGATCAGAAATAATCGTTGTTGACATTTAAAGCCAGCATGCGTTCAAAAGCACTGATCAAACACAGATGATGTGAGATTTTTTTTTTACGGAATATCTAATAATGATCATTCAGCTGGCCATTTCACACATCACTTGCCATTACCAAAAAAACAAAAAAAAAAAAACAAAAAAACATACACCCATGCCACCGTAATGTGAAAGACCTAATAAGCTGGTTTAAAATCTTGGTTGTGCTTGTTTTACACCAATATGCCCTCCAATTAGTTTAAAGAAGAACACAGGAGTCTATTTGTGCTAGAGAGGATCAGGACCTTTCTTAGTCTTTAAACAAATGGTTAATTGAAAAGAAAAAAGTCTCTGAACGCTATAATCAAGCATCCACTAAGAGGGTTTATAGCTTGTGTGGCCTGTATCGCTTACATCTGTGGTCTCGGTGGGTGGCTGGCAGCACGGGAGTACTGAAGGCGCTCCACAGCCACACAAACAGAGGAAATTTTAGATTCTTGTAGTCCTGAGAGAGTAAACAGCTTTGTAGCCTCCAAGAACTGCCAGAGTTCCTGCAGAAGACTTTGGAGGCAGATAAACAACACTCTTGAGTCAAATATAGATTGAAATATTGAGTTAACCACTTAAACTCTGCTGCTATTTGGGGATTTCCGCCTGGATTTTGCCTACCCAAATTTAAAAGCTTCCCAAATCCACATACAGAGGTGTAAATGCAAAAATTTGGTATCATTTTAAAGAAAACCCTTTGAATTTTCATAAAACACCATTGAAAGTGTTTAAAATATCTGTATATGTCGTCTGTGTTATAATAAACACCTAAAAAAAGAGCCGCTTTTTGTATTTTTTTTTTATAAACTCAAATTTGAAAGTGCACCTTTTAGGTTCTGTGTGGTCTAGCGTGCTGTAATTAATTTTGCTGGTTCCTGCACATGTCTGTAGTCATAGAAAAAAGAAAAATGTCTCTACCATAATCTATGCAAAAGTTATTGTATTCCAACTGATGAGAGGTGCTATACAAGCCACAGGGATCGATCATTGTTTTCATATTTCACTATTCTTTTGTTTGATCAAACATAATTCACTGTGTTTGAACCACATCAGACATAAAAAAAGAATTACTTATGCACATCACCTCAAAAACAGAAAAGAATGGCCCTGAAGGGCACAGCATAAGGTAAGAGATGACAGCTGTCTGTGCTATCTGGGGCTGCTTATTGATCATGAACGTATTGTTTACATTTCTGCGCCATGGAAACACCACAATTCATTCAACAACTGTTTGATATGTGAATATAATTCAGTAAAAAGAATGCTAGAACTGTATGAGCACCGGCAAGAGCTTTCATTTCAGCTATAACTTGTAAAAATACCTAGCTCGGGTATCCAAAATACTGTGTATTTAAGTGTAAATAACTTTTATACAGTAGAATAAAAACCAAAGTGATGCATATGTGAATAAAATATAGATTCTACACTTTCAAACGAAACCACTTACGGGGTCTGGTGCAATGCTAGCCCTTTAAATCTGAAAGCGAAAGTTGATGACATCACGGACTCGGTACCGGGTCCGCAGTAAAGTGTTGAAATTAATTGAGTATAAAGGCTTAAAAAACACAGCTGTGGGAGATACACACTTTTTCTCTCCATATGCACCAGACACTTTCTTAAGCTTCTTTCACACAGTGAAACCAGTAAATATACAGAAGATTTTCAGAACAACTTTACTGGTAGATTAAAAAAAGCGCTGTTCACACAGACGAGGGCGTAACGAAATTTTTCCAGAAAAGACCATTTACACATCCATTCCAAAATTCCGGTAAATTCTGACATCATTAACCAGAAATGACCACTGAACAGCTGCGCTCGTATTTGTAACCATTTGACTACATTACAAACTCTGTGGATGGATTGTGAAGTATTGTGAACATCTTCGATGAAAACATATAGAGGAACACTTTTACATGTCGAGATGTACATAATAGTGTATATTAATACATAATATTTTCTGGAAAGATCTGTATGTGTGAAAGGGGCTTTAGAAACATTACATGTTTCTGGGAAAACACTGTGAAATCTAAAGTGTTCTTCACGCAGGTGAGTGGGTTAGACAAACCACCTGTAGGAGACACTTTCCTCTTCTCTATATGCACCAGATAGTTTCCAACAAACTATACATTAAAAGGACTCAATAATAATAAAATATTTGGTTAAAAAGTATAATTTAAATTAATTTAAACAATTAACCAAATGTTTTTTTTTTCAAATTTAATGTTTATCTATATTTGATTTGCCAGCTTTATTCAGAATATTTTAATCTCAAAATTTAATAGAAACTCTTCCCTTGGCTGATGTCAGGCCATCTTCAATTTGCTTTCTCTCCACACTTCTGCAAACTGCTATTTAATATGATTTGATGACCCATTTTCAAATAAGTCGATGTACTTCAAATAAGTCGGCATATTTCCAAGATATATTTCTGTATATAGAACTATCTGAATCCTTAAGATTTGTCAGCAGCCTTAATCCTATGGATTTTTGTTACTCTGCTCTTTGACCTTCTAATCCCTGCTATTTAATCCCTGCCTAAGGAGATACTGACAGACATAATCATCTATCTATCTATCTATCTATCTATCTATCTATCTATCTATCTATCTATCTATCTATCTATCTATCTATCTATCTATCTATCTATCTATCTATCTATCTATCTATCTATCTATCTATCTATCTATCTATCTATCTATCTATCTATCTATCTATCTATCCATCCATCCATCCATCCATCCATCCATCCATCCATCCATCCATCCCATCCCATCCAGTTCACTGGCTCCTTTCTAGGCCTTGGTTTTTGTGTGTGTAGTCTGTTAATGGAGAGACAGAAATGTTCATCTTCATTTGTGTTCTGAGGATGAACCAAAGTACAAACCAAAAAAGAACTTTGCAGTAATTAAAGTAATTAATAATATCATTTTGGTTTAACTGTCACTTCAAAGTATATAATATACATAGTTTCAAAGCATTTTTACAGAAAGTCACTGTAATTTAATGTAATGTAATTTTTTTT